TGGACCGGTTAACCCCGCCCCCAGCACGTGTAAAGCCCTTCCCCTTCATTTCCACCATACCCTGAACCACATGGCGTTCTGTGTGTGGAAAGAGGGGGGCATTTACAGTACGTGTGACTCAACGGGGAAGCGGGGAGTTTTACAGACTTGTGAACACTTTGGTTATTATAAGTGCTGTGAATTCACAGCCAGAAAGCTGCTTCACATATGACTCTTTGATGCCGTCTGATTAAGAGCTTTTGCTTTTTATTTGATGCATTCATTTTTTTTTTTCAATCCAAGGCCTTGGGCAGATTGTTTTGATTAGTGGCTGTTTTCATGGGGATCTTTGGTATGGGTGGCATCTTTTCTCTTCAGTGGCGCTGTCTCTCTCTCTCTCTCGCTGGCGCCGGAGATCTTTGTGCACCGTTGTGTAACTGGAGGATCATCACAGAGTTCAAGAGCTCTCCTGAGCTTTAGCCAGGTTGTCTTCATCTTCGCTCGCTCGCACATTCACACACACCGTCTGCTCGGCTCCAGTGTTTTTCTCGTCTTCTCTCACCTCTGTTTCTTTCCTGTTCTGTGTCAGACGGTGAGATGTGGAAGCTGTTTACATAAACGCTCAAAACCAGACCCAAACCTTAAAGCGATAGTTTACCCCAAAAAATGAACATTCCTGTCAGCGTTAACTCACTCTCATGTCGTTCAAAACCCATATGGTTGAATTTTCCCCCTGGAACACAGAAGGAGATGTTAGGCAGAATGTTTACGCTGCTCTTTCAATAAAAGTGAATGCTGACAAAGTGCTGTCATGCACCAAAAATGACTAAAAATACACTTTTAACAGTAGCTGATGCAATCATATGATAGCTTTGTGTGAGGAACAAAATCAAAATGAGCTCTCAAGGCTCATTCGTGCTGTTTGACTATGGATATTTTGTCAATGTTGGCTTATAATTTGGTGTTCGCATATGAAAATATAGTAGCCTACACAAGGAGTGGGTCAAATGTAACGAATCAAGTTCATATTTACCATCTTTTATTGAAAAATTCAACATTTTATCAAACTTTGAACATCTTTAAAGTCCCCGTGAAATCAAAATTGAACCTATTTACTTTGTTAGCGCATATTACTAGTCTTGTGGTGAACAATTAATCCGTGCAAGTGAATATATATTAAAAAAATGTTTTACCTTAGTAATCTTTAATCAAAATCTGAAAAGTTACTTCCGGTCTGGAACGGTTTTCTTTTTCTGATGACGTAGGTTTCACAGTTTGGGTGGGGAAACGTTTAACCACTCCCCTAAAACCGTTAGTTTGCTATGAGCGAGAGATGGAGAGGAGGAGCGCTAGAGTACAACCCTGCCCTCTGTTTAATATTCCGTTTCACTTGGAAATACGTCACAGCACTGGAGAAAAATCGTTTGCGACTTCCGGTTCACGGGGACTTAAACTGAGAAATTAAACTACATTTTATAAAAGTCACCTGTTAAATTCACAAATCATACATCAGCATAACGATTACAGGGACTCATCTCAAGATCAATCATGTCAGAATGTGTAGTTTGTGCATAAAAAATGTCTGTCAAAATATAACATACAACACGTTTATCAATGGCACGGCGTGGCGTTTATTCTCTTTAGCATGCAGAAGTAATTCACTCCAGCTGATCATTACATTTTTGATGTTAACAAGCAAAATCACTGAAGGAGAAAAGCTTCATTTTAAAACAAACACTGATCACCATAATGGTGACTTCAATTTATGTTTTTTTTTTTTTGGTTGTTGTAAGTTTTACTCATTTTAAATGGTTAACTTTTAAGGAATTAATTTGATTAATTAGTACTCAATTCTAATTTGTTAAATTTAATTAATAATATTTGATTTTTGGATTTTTTTTTTCTTTTCATTTTTATAGTGTGGAGCTTGAGTTATTGATCACCATCCGCTAGGCTATTGTAGGGAAAAGAGAAACATCAAAATGCTGCTTGACATCTTGTTTTGTTTCATGCAAGCAAGGAAATAATACGGGTTTGGAATGACATAAGGACGAGTAAATAATAACAGAATTATCATTCTTTAACAGATCTGCCAGCTCCAGCAAACGCTCTGCTAATATAAGTCTGTACAAATCTGGAAAGCCCATGAAGACAGACTCCAATTCTGAAAACAAGCAGGATGCTCAGATTCTATTCATGCGTGCCAGTGATGTCATCATTTACCCACGATAGCTGGCAGCGGCACAGATGGCATAGAATAGACCGACAGAGAGAGAGTGTGTCCATTTAAGGTCACGTTGGAATGTGTATTATTAGAACCAATTTCAGGCAGAATAAATCATGGTTTAACCAATGCACATGCGATGTGAGCACACTTATCCCTGAGACTCAGCTTCTTTTACAAGTTTTATTGCTCACTGTCAGATGTTATCTGCTGGGGGAGCATCTGTCAGGTCGAAATGGCCCTTACCTCAAAAGACCTCGCAGGACAGGATAAAATTACAGGCAAGAATTTATGCACGAGCCTTTCAACATGTTTCTCGTTGTGTGCATGTTTTTCATAGCACATACAACGAGCTTAATGCATATTGATAAGCATGAGGCATCAGTCGTGTGTTACACTAGCATTGCGCTGGGTTGCGCTGCGATTGCAAATATAGCCTATACCTCGTGAAAAAATGCAATTGATTGTTATGCTGTCTCTATAAATGTCTTGTTAAAGTGCGCCACCATGTGATAAGATGCCGTAACACCCTCAGGACATTCAATTGTGATAGAAATTAAACTTTAGTCAAGTTATAAAAGAGGGTTTTAGAATTTAGAAATATATTCTTGATTGTATTCTTCTTCTTAATTAATTATCTAATAATAGTTGTATATTTTGTTATCATTATTATGTAGGTGTATGCATTAAGTATATATTTGAAAAAAATGCATTTTTTCTACTTTATATTGATGATTGCGTTTAATTAATTTTTTTATTTCTTAATTACAAACAATAAGTGTGGTAGCTTACAAACGTAAACTACATTTTGCATTAGTTGTATCACAAAGTTTTACATTTCTGTATAAAAATATATATCAAAAATATTGCTATCAATTCATTTAGTTTGTTGTAATAAGATTCTGTGACATTTTATTTTGTTCTATTTTATTTTATGCGTTGTAATAACGTAATTAGTACACCAGGTGGAGCTCCTGACTACTAATACATGTGAACTCAAATGAACCACTACTAACCACATCATTCATAAGTTTATGAGCATTATGGTCGGTGTGTTGCTTATAATTACTGTAAATGCAATGTCAAAATTAGCATGCATAATAATGTCTTTGGACTTATTTGGCAGTAAGCCTACTAGGATGTTTTTGTGACACTGGTTGAGAGGGAAATTGTACACACACGGGATTTGGGTTGTGTGTGTGTGTGTACAATTTCCCCTTTCAACCAGTCTCCTGATGCATGCTGATTTTGACATTGCATTTACAAAAACAGTAATTATAAGTAACACGCCGATCATAACGTATATATTGGGTTTATTGCTCTCTGTGCGTAAGTGAGCGAGGTAGGGACATGGAGACGAGCCCAGGTCTGCGATGGGAGGCGTAAAGGTGATAGCTGGGCGTGTGGATTAGAGGAGATGAAAGGGTCCGGAGAGGCGCTTTATCATGCACAGACTGCTCGGAAATTGAGTGGCGTCTCTCACACCAATTCTGACATGTCTGTAGGACGGCACTCAAAAGAGAGGTGTGGGGGTGATGCTGGAATGGCACAGGGCTCTCTATATAACTCCCAAACCTCTCCAAGAGTCTGGAGCTGTAAAACACTCATTGTATTTGCATTCCTTACACACCGCACTTCTGAAGGATAGGGTGCAATGTGGCTGTTTATGTCTGCAATGTTGGTTATCAGCTGTAAATTCGTCTAAAACGGGTGTGCTGATAAAAATTTCCCCACATTATAGCACGGTTTAGTCTTGGTTGCTTTCAAGTGTGAGTGGATATCTCATGCCCATGCGTTTAATGCAATTGCGTCTTTTATGTGCGAAGTGATTTAGAGGGTATCAGGAGTTGAACTGCCAAAGATCACATGCGTGGCTTTTATTCCCCATGTCAAACTGGGATTTTTTTGTTTCCCCCTTGTTCGGATTTATTGCGGTAAACTATAGATCTGAAAAGAATGGAGTTTACACGCATATGAACTTTGATGGAAGATTGATATTTTCCAAGCCGTTAACTCTTTTATCCCTCTCTCTCGCGCTCGCTCTCTCTCTCTCTCTCTCTCTCTGTGTGTGTGTGTGTGTGTTAACTTTAGCCATTATGACTTTTGTCCGAAACAGATTTTCAAATAAATGGCTTGAGGTCCGCAAGCATTTGAAGCATATCCTCCCAATAAACGCAGTGTGGCTTAATTTACCATGAGTCCATAACGCGCTCTTACGCACCGAATCAAAGCTCTTTTTGTGAATCGGATTCTCATCTGCTGCCCTCTTGTGTTGTTTGGCCTCCCCAAATTCCTCACCGCGCTGCGGCTCCCCTCGCGCTCCTCCTCCTCTCCATTGTATCCGCGTCAAAACGAAGGGGGTGCGGAGAAGTGCGACAGAAGGAGGGAGGGTTAAGTTGTGCCATCGGAGCGCAGAGGTGTTGGTTCATATCGACAGAACCGGCAGAGACATAGGGGGGGAGAGAGTTTGGACTATATCACCACCACCACAGATGCACTTGTGTCTTTTCTTCTTTCGTTTTAACTTCCATCCATGTTGCTTATATCCATTAGACGCCGACATCCACTTTCGTTGCGTTTTATGAAGCGGAGTTTGAAAAGAACATTCTCAACAGATGTCAGACTCCGTTAGTGCCTCGGGTCATCTAGGTGTTTTACGCACAGCTGGTGTTTAAAACTGAGCTGGGGCGAGATTGAGGGGATTCAGAGGCACTGCACTTCAAGACTTTATTTTCTAGTCACTATAGGAAGCAGTTCCTCCAAGTGGATTACTATCATTTCCTAAATGTTTCCCCAGAGGAGGCTCTTCGCATTTCCATTTCTTGGCCGAGGAAGGATGGATGTGAGAATGAACCCAGGACACCTACTTCTGGCAGTGACCCTCATCGTCTGCAACTCACAGCTGCTGGTGGTCGCCAACTCATGGTGGTAAGATCAGCTTGTAATCGCAAACTATTCTAAGTTGCAAATTGTATGTTTCTAAAGAACACCATATGAAGTTGTGTGTGGAGGATGAAACAATGCATACGAAAACTATTCACTGAGAACAAATGTGGAGGCTTTGTCACAATATTTACCTTGGGCAACAAATGGTCAAACTGTTTGTAAATAAGGGCATTCGTGTCCTGAGGACAACAGGTTTTTCAAACAGTTTTCAACTTGATAATAAGTTCCCTAGGCACCATTTACGCTGTGCAATCCTTAACTCACTAACAGAAAATCGAATTTGCTTGAAATTAAATTGGTTCATAATTATTTAAATGAGTTTACAGTTTGACGTCTATCTATAAAAAAAGTCAACTGGCAGCACAAGAACAAAGCTTACTGCTATCTCACCTTGCATTCTCCAAAAAAACCCACAAAAAACACATGCAGTCCAGATTCCAGAATAGCGTGTCCTAATGAAATTTGACACTATTTTGTGTCATGTATGCTGCAGGTTAGTTGTGCATATTTGATGGTCGGTGTATTGGTCTTACTTTCTCAGGTCATTAGCCATGAACCCCATCCAGAGACCGGAGATGTACATCATTGGAGCACAGCCTCTGTGCAGCCAGCTGACAGGCCTGTCTCAGGGTCAGAAGAAGCTCTGCCAGCTCTATCAGGACCATATGGTTTATATTGGAGAGGGGGCGAAGACGGGCATCAAGGAGTGTCAGTATCAGTTCAGGCAAAGGCGATGGAACTGCAGCACGGTGGACAACACTTCAGTGTTCGGCCGCGTCATGCAGATAGGTGAGTTGATGTGATGATGATGATGCTTAAAATCCACATGCAATTTGATCAAATGCACAATAATAAAGCATGCCGCTTTGAAAATCCCTCTGATGACATTTGAGCCCACCGTGTACTCTTGAGTTACAATGTCTTCAAGGAAGTTCATGTATTTTGTTTAGAGTTGTCAGCTACAAATAAAAGTTCAAGTGGCTGGTGTAAATCACATGACCAGTTGTTTTGCCCCTGAAAGATGATAAAAGGAATACATTCAACATGTAAAAATAAGTGTACATTTGGTATATTGTTTAAAGGGGGGATTGTTCATGTTTGTAAAGTCATCATGTAAAAATATAAGTGGTTATAAGATATAATTTTCAATGACTTGATGGCTAGGCGTATTGCTATTTTAAATGAAAAAATTATATGGAAATATGCATATTATTTGATTATCATAAACTAATATTAATTTATGGTAGCCTAATTTATTGTGTACTTTTTAATTAGCAGCTGAACAATGTTGTTCCACTGGTTTTAATTATGAAAAGAGTTGGAATAAGTGAAACTGTGATTATAAACCATATTTGTAATATATACAGGTATGTGTGTCTGTGTATAGCCTATTCTTCCTTACCACTTATTCTAACTCTTACTTTTTGTTAAACGTTTTTGAAAAGTGTATAGTTTTGAATATTGTTATAGAGATAGCTTAAAAATGTAATCTGCTAATGTAGGATCGCTCTCAGCATGACTCGAACCGCTCCCCGTGGGATTTACGCGTTGATCTCTTGGCATCACTTTTTTATGATTTTCATATAAAATTGCTTTTTATTTAAATGGAAGCTCTATATTATTTTATGCATGCATGTTTAGATGTGTAGATATATTTTATACGGCATATTTAAATGAAGAAAGTTGCTCTAGATATTTCTTCTAGTATGTATGTAGCAGTGTGTACTTGAATGCGCGTGTCGTTCTCTCACAGAAGACAGCGTTCGTTGCCTCAATTGAGTGAGTGTTAGTTCCGCTCATCAGTGAAACAAGGTGTAAGACGCGACATGCCCCCCCCCCCCTCTCGTGTCCCCCAAATAGCACGGGACTTATTTGCAGTCAATCGCGAGGTTTATATTGAGGTGTTAGTCGGGCCATTGTCCAGAGTCGCTTTTGAAATGCAATGACACCATGACACAGAGTCGGGATATCCGGGACTCTATTTGAAGTCCGGGCACCAAAGGCCAATAAAAGTGGCCCTCCAAATTCAATAGGCGCATCGTTGGAATGCAGGTTCACACCCGTTTACACGCGACGCTTTGTGAGTAGGCTATCTGAGCATGTGTACCGTATTTTTACATTATTTTAAAATATTGCAATTCTTTCCTCTGTATTTATATATTGCAAATCTATCTATCTATCTATCTATCTATCTATCTATCTATCTATCTATCTATCTATCTATCTATCTATCTATCTATCTATCTATCTATCTATCTATCTATCTATCTATCTATCTATCTATCTATCTATCTATCTATCTATCTATCTATCTAAGTTTAGCCCTAAAATGTATGAATTTATAGGCCTAGGCCTACATACACTAAAATCGGAGTTGGTGCTCTAAAACCCTCACAAAATCAAGTAAATTATTGTATAACAATTTATTGTTAAAGTCCCTTAATCCCTAACATTTTAAGCTAGCCTATATGCTCCTGTGCTACATTTATTTTTACATTTTTTATAATGCATAGAACGGTTACTTTTGGTCAGTCTAGTCAGGGGCAAGTTGACTTTTATTGAGGCATTGAGGAAGGCCGGATCATTAAAAAGGAATTCTCAGGGCCTGCAGTTTAAAACCGTTTTGTGTGACAAATTTCCTCTTGTAATTATGGTGTCGCTTAGCATTGAAACAAACTGCTTATCTCTAAATATGGTTGTACTAGCACTTTTTAACATGTTTAAACAGCTTTTAAACGTTAAACGCTATTAACTGTATTGCCTGTGCTGTTGAGGTATGTGAAATCTGCATTCCAGATGGCTTATTAGATGAGGGGAAAAATCAGGTAACACATGCACAACAGATGCGAAAAAGAGCACAAATTTTTATAAACCTAGCGCCTCTTTGGCAGGAAAACTTTGCGGGTTATCATATGCCTCATGTACCAAAACGGGAAAATCAGTCAGTCCTCGTTTTGCTTATGTTTTAATATAGCCTACTTTAATTGAGATATATATAAATATATCAATGGAATAATGAATCAGTGCTGTCCATGTACATGCACACATTTCTGATAATCTTATCTCTCACTGCAGGGCTTACCAAAAAGATTGTTACCATCTGTTGGGTTCTGGAAATGAGTTGTTTTACTCTCTGCCTTACTTCCTAAGTGAATAATCAAGAAAAAAAAAGGAGACTGAAGAGTTGTGGATGATTTAACAAAGCGATTTCCAGCCCATGGAATGTCGTCCATGTCCTAACTATGTGTTTTTCTGTGCTTGTCTTCTGCAGGCAGCAGAGAAACAGCTTTTACTTACGCCATCAGCGCAGCGGGTGTCGTGAACGCGGTGAGTCGGGCGTGCCGCGAGGGCGAGCTCTCCACCTGTGGCTGCAGCCGAGCGGCTCGTCCCAAGGACCTCCCGAGAGACTGGCTATGGGGCGGATGCGGGGACAACGTCAACTACGGCTACCGTTTCGCCCGGGAGTTTGTGGACGCCCGCGAGCGCGAGAAGAACTACCCTCGAGGATCGGTCGAGAATGCACGCACGCTTATGAATCTGCAGAACAATGAAGCTGGGAGAATGGTGAGGAAATGAACACACACATAGATGATTGACCTATTGATCAGTGTCCCGTACTGTGGTCGTTAAATCCACCATGATCCACCTTATTTCATTTAGAGCAAGAGTCTACAGTGCATTGGTTTGGTTAAGGTGTGTTTCTTTAACGCGTAGCGAATGAATCAAGGCTGTTGCAACCTCTATTGTGATATTGAGAAACAAGAGACCTGTTGTACACTTGAATGGATAAACACGGCTTTAAATATGTTTGTGCGTGAATAAACCAAAGCCAGCCCTTATGTCTCCTGCAGATCACCACAAACACAATAACAAACACGGTTACTTCATCCTCCCTCTGTTGTTGAGTGAATGTGTTTACTTTGCTAAAATTTGGGACCACAATTGTCTTTAGAAGTTAGCTAAATCTAGCTAAAGTCTTCCTTTGGAGATGTCCTCAAAGGTAAAAATGTAAAGGGGGATTAGTGTGTGGTCTACAGTAATTATATGTATCTTTTAGGGATGTGCAATAACATATTTTCAAAACTGACTAGCCAATGTCAGCTAATTCATCTTCAGGAAGGTCTGTATAGTTAAGATTTACAACTGTCCTGCAAGTTTTTGCTGGCGAAATCCAGTCAGTTCAATAGGAATCCATGCAATTGGGAATTTAGCTGGAGGGCGGCAGATTTCGGTTGACCAACAGACAGGTTCATGTTTTGAAAGTGGTTGAGTTGTGCTTCATACATTTCTCCAATGTCCCCGCTAATTTAGGCTGGTTTGGATTCACCTGGCACTGATTGGACTTGTTACAGGGGGGTGTTTGTTTACATGAGACTAAATCAGCTAGACACAAGTGCAGGGGTCTGCATGCACGTTTTTATTTCCTGGAATATCTTGAAACGGGTATTCTTGTGGCAGGACACTCAGGAAAGCATGAGAAACAATGCTAAGACATTCAGTTTTAATTCGATGAATTTAAAGACGTAAAGAGTTCCTGTTGTTAGAGCATGGCATTTACCTGACTTGTCAGATCAGATAATTAGTCATTTAAGGAGTAGTTCACTTTTCAAAAAAACTTTTGCTGATAATTTACTCACCCCGATGTCCATGTCATTCTTTCTTCAGTCGAAAAGAAATCAATTTTTCTCCATATAATGTACTTCATTGGGAACCAAACGGTTCAAGGTCCTAAAGGCACTTTCATTACAAACTGCAAACTGTTCAAAGGGTTTAGTTTAAACAAGGTTAAACGATTCCAGACGATGAATAAGGGTCTTATCAAGCGAAACGGTCGCTCATTTAATAAATAAATAACAAAGTTTAAGTTTTATAAGCTCAAATGCTTGCCTTGCTCTGTTCTGTGACTCTCCTGTTCGAACTCATTCATCAAAATGGACAAATCTTTTTCCGAGTCATTTGGTTAATTCAGCGAAAGAAACGGACGAATTGACTCGGAAAAAGATTCGTTCATTTTAATGAGCGAGTTCGAACAGGAGAGTCACGAACGTGCATCACAGAACAGAGCAAGGTGAGCATTTGAGCTTATAAAACTTAAACTTTGTTACTTATTTTTTAAATGAGTGATCGTTTCACTTGATAAGACCCTTATTCATCGTCTGGAATTGTTTAAAGCCCTTTGAACAGTTTGCGGTTTTTACCTTTAACCATTTGGTTCCCACTGAAAAATCCTGGAATGCTTTCAATCAAAAACTTTAATTTCTTTTCGACTGAAGAAAGAAAGACATGGACATCTTGGATGACATGGGGGTGAGTAGATTATCAGCAAAAGTTTTTTGAAAAGTGAACTACTCCTTTAAGACTTTAGCTTTATATAAAAATAACAGTGGTCTGCACGGCGTCTTTATTAGGTTATAGACTAGGAAGAGAGCCGATTTAATGAAAGTGACCAAATGGCGCCTGTGCTAGGCCAGCGCCCATAGAGTCTGCTGGGGGTCAAGAGGTCAAAGCACCTCCGATCCCCGGGACCACTAAAGCGTCCCATGTTACTCATATGCTCTTACTCTAGTGTCCCATTCAGCACGTAGCTCAGATTCCCATCCAATCTCCCTTTTATTCATTTAATGGAGTAGTCGATGCCAGAACAAATAGTTTGTTTTTTTTTATAAGGTGATGTGTGGCAAATTTGTTTAGTCAGGAACGCTCTGACACTGCACATTTTCTTGTTGAATGGCTTCTTGCTGTTTTATAGAACAGCTATATGGTGGAATGATTATTGGAACGTATACAACTATGCGAGTGTGTGTGTGTGTGTGTGTCTGGCTCCGGCAAACTGTGGCCCCCCTGCCACGTTCAGGTGGGCATAAAACCGGAGCGGGAGAACGCACTGCAGAATGTCACCACATCCTGCCAAAACACACCATCAAACTGGAATGCGTTCCTCCGTCCCCTCGCGAGTCCCACGCTTTGTCATACCACACCCCGATCCCATCCTCTTTCCACTTAGTTATTTGAGTGCTTTTAAAACGAAGCGGCCCCATAAAAAGTCCATTTGCCTGCCGATGTGGGTGCTTGCCGTGCGCAGAGCTCCGCCACAGATGTTTGTCTTAGGGAAGATGAGTGTATTTAAGGTGTTTACAGAAGAGAGGGCCTCTTTTCTGGAGTTATGGCACATCTGAGATCCCTGGCTCTTCTCCTGGAGGTTCCCTGAGGTGAGGAGGTCAAGGTCTGGACATGTTCTGTACGTGCATGCTGGGGAGATTATATCTTTCGGGTGACGCCGAGTAACTACTCGACCACCCTCGACTTGGTCCTTTTTGAGTTATTGGCACCTGCTTTTTTGGCGGAGGTGGATTTGATGGTGTGGTGTGACCCCCGATACTCCTCGCTGGCCTGTTTGCTGGAGATTTGTCTTGCTTGGAAAGGCTTGGTCTTGGTGGGCTTTTGTGGAGGTGACAGAAGCGTATCGGATGCCCCTCGGAGTGGATAAGAACGGTTTAGTGAAAGATGGTGCGTGTGGTTCCGGTGCTGTGGGTCACAAAGGCTCGTGACCCAGACTGTACAGAGAGAGGAGGCCTCCACCCTCCATAAAGATCACCTGCTTCTGTGTGTCTTTCATTAGAAATCAACTGCAGCGGAGACAAACACACACACACCTTAATCTAAAGCACTTTATTACTCACTCACACACACACACGCACACATGTAGGCGTAACGTATTTTAATACATCGCTAAGGCTTTCTGTCTCACTCAATTTATCTGCATTACTAATGTTTGAAGGCTTTTGTATTCAGAGACACGCATATTTACTTAGCTATTTAAATGAGGACGTACCATATACTTTTCTCATTTTTATCTACTCTACCAGTCCTAAGTTACTGAATCATGTCATTTTATTAAACTTTTAATCTGAAGTTTTTACGTAGACATATTATTAAGTGCTTTGTTTACAAATAGACATGGAATTTCTTTACAAAACTTCACAAAACATGAGTTGCACAGTATAGTGAAGGGGAGAGTCCAGCATAAATGGGAATTCCTTCAAGACTGTTTTCAAAAGCTGTCATCTAGGAAAATTAAGTAAGCAAAATAATCAACTAGCAACAGCAAACACCATTTTGATAAAGACTAGCTAAAGACTATAAAAGTGAATGAATGAACATTAAAAAGTTAAAGGAAAATATAAAATAAAATAAAATAAAAAATAGTTTTCACTAATATTTTAATAGTTTTGTGTGTATGTGTATTATACTTTACTATACTTTACTGTTATTCTAAAATGCAAAACAGTAATAATAAAGAATAAAAAATAATTAATAACGAATAAACATTAAAAAGTTCAAGTAAAATAGAAAATAAAATAAAAATAGTTTTCACTAATATTTTAATAGTTTTGTGTGTGTGTGAATTATACTTTACTATTATTCTAAAATGTAAAACAGTAATAATAAAGAATAAAAAATAATTAATAACAAATGAACATTAAAAGGTTCAAGTAAAATAGAAAATAAAATAAAAAATAATTTTCACTAATATTTTAATAGTTTTGTGTGTGTGTGTGTGTGTGTGTGTGTGTGTGTGAATTATACTTTACTGTTATTCTAAATGTAAAACAATAATACTAAAGAATAAAAAATAATTAATAACGAATGAACATTAAAAAGTTCAAGTAAAATAGAAAATAAAATAAAAAATATTTTAATAGTTTTGTGTGTGTGTGTGTGTGTGTGTGTGTGAATTATACTTTACTATTATTCTGTATTTTTTACGTTTTAATTAAAAAATAAACAGATTTAATTGTAATTTATAAATGTTTGTGGGGGTGTGTATATATGATAAAAACTAAATGAATCATTTTCTACTACTAAGAATGCCCCAATCTAATGTTTTGCCAGAAATAGTCCCCAGTTTTGTCCCCAACATGGAGCTGATTAAAAGAAATAAATACACACATATATACAGATGCTTTAAAAGTCTCACATTGTTGTAGCCTTGAAAACTGCTCCATTTTCTTAGCATAGCTCAGAGAGATTTGTATTTGTTTACTTCAGACTCGTTTCCCCGTCCTCTTATCTCCACTCCTCCTTGCTCCGCCCCGACCCCGCCCAGCAGTGACCCTGACCCGTCTGAGCGCGCTCCATTGTGCACAGCACCGCATGCGTGTCCTTTCCACGCACCGATGAGCCTGTCTATCCATCACACCTTGGTCACTTGGGCCAAAAAGAGAAAAAAGAGAGACAGAGAATGAAAAGGAGGGGCGCGAAAAGGAGATAGATGAAAGTGAGGACGAATAAAAGAGAGAAATGGCAGCCTTTATGTGAACACAGTTTCAGTTGGGCGCACATGTTGCATAGAAATGCTCAAAAACCCTTTTGTGTGAGATCACTTAGATGAGGTGGCGGAACTGCAGCTTGACACGCAAGATGGTAAATAGCCGAGAATGGCTTGCGTGATGTGGGGCGCTGCTGTGTGGGAAAGTGTGTGTGTGTGTGTTGTTTCTGGATTGCAGACAGGTATGCAGGTTGGGCCGGTGATGACAGAGACTTGAAAGGTGTTGGAACTCCCCTTAATGTCTGTGTGCGAGCAGGTAAAAGGAAGGGGGCTTAAACAGCTGCCACCGGAGGGGGGTTGAAGAGTCGGGGCAGCACATCCTCAAAGACGACCGTTAAATGTTCTCACGTGAGGTGTTAAAGGGAGGAGCACTGCCGGCTCTTAAATGACAGAGAAACAGAAAGAGAAATGCCTTTAATGTTCCCTCGTTCAGGACACTAAACAGACACAAAAGACACAGCAAACAAGACACGTCACATACCGAGGCGGAAACAACCACGCTGCTGGCCACCCAACCTTGATTGAGGCCAGACGTGGAAAGGAGATTGCTCTCATTACTTGTTTTTGTGTTTGACGGCCAAACGTGACGCACTTGTATGAAACGTGTTTGGGACGGGTGGTTAATGAAAAGTAATAGTCTGTTAATGTTACATGTTAAATAATTAAAAAGGACAGGGAATAACAGCCGTTGGTTTAGTGGGACAATATGTTGAGCGTTTCTTTATTGATTCAGCTGGGGGTTTCATTGAATTTAATCAGCAGGAAGTCTGTTGTCAGTGGACGCGGGGCTCTCTGTGTGTTCTAGAACAGAATGACTATTCATCACATTGTTCTCCAAACGCTCTCGCTGCGGCTCTCTGTTTGTAAAGGGACCGTAAACTCAAAGGCCTCTGGAGGCCCCATTAACAGGCTGGTGCACTGAACTCATTGGGCCTCTAGAGAGAGCTGTTGTTCCACCAGGGTTTACTTAGCAGCGTATTATAGATCTATGAGCTGTGTACCCTAATGACTTCGTAAAAAAAAAAATAAAGAATAAAAAAGTCCAAGAATAGCACGCTGTGTGTTTGCTAGTAATTGCTACTACCACTCTCTTAAAATGTAAGTCATAGCATAGCTATTATTCACAGTTTTTAAGCATTTAGCTAAATGCATTTAGTTCCATTGACCTAAAAAAATGATTTTATTATATTAATTTGTACTTTTATTGTTTTAAAATAATGTTTAAAATATTTTATTGTTTTAATACTTTTTATACTTTTGATTTTTTTACAAAATATTATTTATTATTATTATTATTATTCCACACATTCTCTCATTATTTTCCCCCTATTAAATAAAAAACAATATATGAAAAATAAATAATTAAAACTGTATTAATAGCTGGTAATTATACCATTTTTATACCATTATTTAAATTCCATTTTTATACCATTACATTTAACATTTTATTGTTTTAATACTTTTTATACTGTTTATTTCTTATATACATTATTTTTACAAAACAGTATTTATTATTATTCCACACATTCTCTCATTATTTTCCCCCTATTAAATAAAAAAACAATATATTAAAAATAAATAATTAAAATTGTATTAATAGCTGGTAATTATACCATTTTTATACCATTATTTAAATTCCATTTTTATACCATTACATTTAACATTTTATTGTTTTAATACTTTTTATACTGTTTATTTTTTATATGCATTTTTTTTACAAAATAGTATTTATTATTGTTATTCCACACATTTTCACATTATTTCCCCCTATTTTTTCATATAATTTTTTTATTAAATAAAAAAAAATATATATATATATAAAATAAATAAATAAAATTGTATTATTATCTGGTTATACCATTTTTATACCATTAATTATACAGGAAACTTAAAGACAGACATACTGTAAATCCGTAAACACTTAGTGGGATAAGTTATGGCATGCATGGCAAAGTATTATCGATTAGTCTGTATTTTCAACCCATTATATTCTAATTTTTATTTTTACCTAGCTGACCAGTTTGAAAAACAAGTTATTCCTATTCCTTTAGTGCTCGTATGTACAGTAGATGTCATCAGTCTGATGATGACGTATAAGCGCATATCTTGACTTGGAAAGTTTTAGTGCTAGAGATGATAAGTTTGGTTTATTCTTTTTTTCAAGTTACATTGTCATATTCTCACAACAATTCTAATTCTTTCTCCACTCACAGGCAGTGTACAATCTGGCCAACGTCGCATGCAAGTGTCACGGAGTCTCCGGCTCATGCAGTCTGAAAACCTGTTGGCTCCAGCTGGCCGACTTCCGTCGCGTGGGAGAGTTCCTGAAGGAGAAGTACGACAGCGCCGCCGCCATGCGCATCAGCCGACGGGGCAAGCTGGAGCTGGTCAACAACCGCTTCAACCCCCCGACGAGCGAGGACCTGGTCTACACTGACCCCAGCCCGGACTACTGCCTGCGAAACGAGACCACCGGCTCGCTGGGCACCCAGGGCCGCCTGTGCAACAAGACCTCGGAGGGCATGGACGGCTGCGAGCTCATGTGCTGCGGTCGCGGCTACGACCAGTTCAAGACCTACAAACACGAGCGTTGCCAATGCAAGTTCCACTGGTGCTGCTACGTCAAGTGCAAACGCTGCACGTCGCTCGTGGACCAGTTCGTGTGCAAGTAGCACCCTAGGGAACGGGACAGATGCCCTGGAGAGGCACTGAGCAATTAGCGGGAGAAGAACGGGACCCTTAACGGACCCAGAGGGGGAACTTAGAGATAATGAAATGTAAAATGATATATTAAATAGCAACAAATTAAAGTATATAAGTAAGTGTACGTGTGCCGTTGATAGTAATTTAATGACCTTTTCTGACTCAAGAGTCAAAAGTTGGACGTCATTGATGACAAGGAGGCACCGGTGTGATGCATTCTGACTCGAGCTGTTGTTCTCTCCGCCTTCGAGTTCAGAGAGGCACGTAGTCTTTGCTTGTTCTTAAAGGAAGAGCCTACAAACTCTTTAGAGACTCTAGAGGGATCAAGAAAAGATGCAGAAAGAGGACGGAGAACAATTCGATTCGCCCCTGATTCTTGAGCGCACCTCCACAAACACACTCCACCTTGCCCATATTAGAGCTCTTAAGAACCTTGAGTCAGAAAAAGGCGGAATTATTGGACATTGTGTTCCATGATGTCATAATAATCTTTGAGATATGACAAGAACAGAACGCTGCCTGTTACCGTTACCCTTCACGCAAGCATTTCCTAATAAGAAACCTGGAGAGACGTGTGAAAGATAAAAAACCAGGACTGAACACTTTTGCCTGCATCGGAGCTTCAAGCAACACATGCACACGCAAAACTCCCCTTTTATTCTTAAAAACCGCTGTCGTATCCTTCTTAAAGGCTTTCAAAAGCCCGTTTGATGCATTTCAGGGTCTTCTGTACGTCATATCTGGGAGTTCCCGAGAATATTGTGTTTGTTCTGTCACTGTCTTTGTCATTGTTGGTTGAAACGGTTCAAAGCCTCACAGTAATGAATGTGTGTGTGGTAACTGCAAATAGGAAGAAAAAAAAATCAAGGCTACATAAGGACTGCAAAAACTATTATTGTAACCAAATACTAGTGGTTCAGATTATATTTTATTAATTGCTTCTCATTTTATACATCATATGTATTGTTCTGATTATTATTTTTTGATAAAGAAGCTTTTTACTGGGGATTTATATGCTAGCAGAGAAGATATTACTGGCCACTGGATGGAACGGGTGATCATAGCCGACTCTCTGTCTGTCAGGCCGTGGAACATGACAATGAGATCTTTTGTTTTGGAGGAAAACCACACTTGTAAATAACAGTCAGTCATATATGCAAATAACACTTACAATCTCTTTGACACGTCACTCCACAGTTTTTTTGCTGCCCTGTGATCTTATTCTTGTTGTGTGTATTCCCCCTCATTCAAACCAGTAATATTAAAAATATGAATAGTGATTATTATTACCTACTTAGCTGCTTTATTTCTGTTTTGCTCGCTGTGTTCCTTCTGTTTGCTTTGATGCATACATTTTATAACCAGGGTTGTGTATTGCATAAAGCAGGGGTTTCTAATTCACACACCTCCCCGCTCTGCACACACTCTTAGAAGAAAAGGTTCTATCTATCAGCGCTACGTATTTTGGAACTCCTAAAAGGTTCTATACAGAAGCCTTTTTAAGGGTTCAATAATAAGAACCCTTTAGGGTTCTTTGTAACCAGGAAAAAAGTTCTATATGGAACCTTTTGGGTTCATTCATTATCATTTGTTTTGTCCTTTCCGGATAAAATATTTCATATTATTGACAAACAGCAAGACCCTAAAATGTATTTATGAATGCATGTGAATGATCATTATTCAAATTTCAAGATATAGGGGTTAGAAAATGTATATATTTATAGCATTTTATGTAGTTTAGCAATATCACACAAAGAGTGCCATTTCAGTTTTTCTCCTCCAAAAATCAGCATTAAAATGTGATATTAAGTTACTACAACAGTTTAATAAATAATAATTTAATTACAACTACAAAATGTTGCAGAATAATGTAATATATGAATGAATAAAAGAACCTTTGTGCCAAAAGGGTTCTTTCTTGTCATTATAGAACCTTTTTTAGCATAAAAGGTTATTTGGAGTTGAGTAAAGAACCCTATGTTTCATATATAGAACCCCATTGAACCCTTTTTTTCTAAGAGTGCAGTTTGTATGTCTCTTTTATCTGACACACCTGATTCAGGTAAGCTCCATGAACCGGGTGCGTTCCAATTGACGGTCCCTTTGCAGTGTTCACTGCGCCCTATCCCCAAGCACGGGCTGTCTGACAAAATGCATTCATTTGCAACACCCTGCAATGAAATCAAACACAGACAATACACAAGTAGGCATATTAGAGGAGTTTAAGGTTTTATGGCACAATGTTCTTCTGTAAATAAATGTAATATAAATTCCAACATTTTCATTTAATGTAGCCTGGATAAAAATGTATTATAAATTTCACTTAATTTAATGTCAAATTCAAAATCCCTAAACTGAATGAGACATTTGTTGTGAACATTAATATGATAATAAATGTAATTTGGATCATTTAAATAATAAATGTCGTATTTAACCCTTAATCATAATAGTTGACTTGTAACTGTTGTGTCTCACGCGTGATCTTGACAAACACACCTGCTTCGGTTTGAAATTTCCCTTAAGTTGGTGACATAACCTTTGTGCACTTCGTAGCACACTTAGGGTGGAACCCACCTCTGAACTGAGGGTATCAGATAATAGAGACATACAAAATGTGCTGAAAAGGGATAAAGTATTTAGTCATAAAAATGATGCGTATATTTATTCTACTGATATGGACTACATCAATCATTTTTGGTACTTTATCTGTGTTGTATAAGCTAAAATAGGCCTATATAAAGCAACCTTTACACTCACTCCAATATTCTTCATAAGGCAGGAACCACAAAATAATGGATGTCAAAGTTGCTCAACTGTGTTTTTGGAGAATTGTTGGGTGGGGTGGCACTTGCTTTTCTTTAAACTAACCAAACACAAACATCTCAATTCAGATTTCAGTTCCTTGCCTCACCCTCTTTTACACCGGTCTGAATTAGTTTCACTGCTGTTGATGAGTGCAGTTCCCACCGCATGATTAGTAGATCAGTTCTCTTGTTTTGTTATGCAATTAGTAGACAGATACTGGCACACACTACATGTGAACCATGTGCAGGTTGGGAGAGTTTCCAGTGACTTTGGCCCAATATCAGGAACAATAAGTATTGACAGGTGGGGATCTGTCTGCATGGCATGCCCTCATCTAACATCTGTTTTGCAATTAGGGGAGTTTTTTTTCTTCTTTTTTTGGATGGCTATCAGTTTCATTTCATATTGAGCTGGAGCGCACGGGCCTATGTTCCACTTGTCTGCGATCTCATTGGGTTTGTGTGGTCAAAGGACAAACCATGACCTGAGCTGTTTACACTGGAAATTCTCCAGAAAGCTCATGTAGGTCAAAGCACCACAGGAAACTTATAACCACAGCCCGAGACCACTCTTGAAAATAAAGCTTAAAGTTTGCATTTTATATATACACACACTACCATTCTGAAGATTTCGATCTGTAAGATTTTTAAAAGAAAAAATTAAAAGAAGCCTCTTCTGCTTACTGCATTTCTTTGATTCATCAACATTATACACTACCGCTCAAGGGTTTGGGGTCAATATAATTTTTTTTTTTGAAATTAATACTTTTATTCATAAAGGATGCATTAAATTAATCAAAAGTGACAGTAAAGACATTTATAATGCTACACAATCTTTCTATTTCAGATAAATGATGTTCTTTTGAACTTTGTTAATCGAAAAATCCTGGAAAAAAATGTACACAGCTGTTTTCAACATTGATAATAAATGTTTCTTGAGCAGCAAATCAGCATATCAGAATGATTTCTGAAAGATCATGTGAAACTGACTGTAATGATGCTGAAATTCTGTGCTTTGACCACAGGAATAAATTGCATTTTAAAATATATTCAAATAGAAAACAGTTATTTTTAATTTGTGAAAATATTTCACAATTGTTTTTTCCACACACACACACGTACTGGGGGGGAAAATAACTTACACAGTCTTATAACCAATGTACAGACTTAAGTCTTGCTTCATGATGATTGCTAAAGCCCAGTTATAATTTCACAATATGGATCATAGTGCATTGGATTTTTAACTTTTGCCATTGAATCAAGTAGGCTACCATTTAACATTGCCCAACTGAAGCTGTTAGTACTGATATCATATCTGAATAACTGATAGGGAGGGGTGTCACTGCATATTCCAACTTTCTTAATTGCAAATATTTGAATTTGTGCAATCATTTATAAAAAAATGATTGCCTCCAGTTCATCACATGGTTGTTTATCAAAATGGTTGTGAATTAATGTCTTATTTTAATGAGCAAACGTTATTATCAAAATAGTTCATACTTAAACATAAAATAACATTTTATATTTAAAAAATACTGTGAGTTTGAACATTAAAAAAATAAACAAATAAATAAATAAAAACAAAGCATGAATCCCACAAACAAACAAGTCACTTGCGGACTACAAATCCCTTCAAACCCGTTATCCTGAAACTAGATCACGAGACTACATGGGCGTATTCTGATTGGCCTCTCTTTCTCACGCGAGGTACGTCACTTTGAAACGCAACGACATCCAGAAAATCCAGCCAGCTCGAGTCAGTCAGTCAGTCTTCTGGAACGGCAGCTCCTCTCCGACAAAAACACTCTTGAAGGACAACAGCCCGTCGCTTACATAAACAGGTGAGCAAAAATCTGACATCCACATGTAGGTGTTAGAATATATTTGAAGGTGTTCTGACTATATGTTTGCGCTAATTAAGTTGTTTATGTCAGTATTGCTAGCCGACTAGCTCTCGTTGCTACGTTGCCTGAAACGGTTCTTCTATTGTTTTTAAGGTTTTTCTTAAAAGGAATTAAAATTTTAATTATTCAACAGACCGGAATAGTACCACAGACGCGTCTTAAAGCTTATAAAGAGCGTGACGGACGCGAGGAGATAGAAGTACGTAGTCTAAATCCCGTGCATTAGTCACTTTCAGACTTGTTTGTGTCAGTCTTTGAGAGGTGAGTGTGACCACTGGGTCTTTTGTTTGGAGTTTTCATCTTTCTGACTTGTTTTTTCCTAATTTTTATATGCTCATAGACAGTTCTCAAATTTCACGTTCTTACTAGAGAGATGACAATAGAAGATGTTTTTGTTTGGGTTGTAAACAAAACCACTTCCATTTAAAGGGACCGTTCGCCAAATTTTAATATTCTGTTACGACTCGTCCAGATGTTTTTGCAATAATAATATGTTATGCAGGATGACAATCTCAATCGCCATGTGTTTTTCCAACACAAAGAAGCGAATTTTGACTACTGCTGTCATCCTGCCAAAGATCTACGTTTGTGTTTTTAATGAAAACTGAAAGTCATAGAAATTTTTGTTTTGGCTTAAGTTACCTTTTTTAATAACTGGATAAAACTGAGAGAGGTCAAATGATGATGGACATAGTGGGTGTATTTTCGGTATACTGGTAGTGGAATAAAATAATTAAAAACCAAAGCAGATGATGTTTATGGTAATCATCAAAGTGTGAAAGTGTTTTGACAGCTCACTGTTTATCTTATTGACTTCATCACCACTGGCGTTTCTGACCTAGTTTTCTACTTCCTCCCACCAGGAGTACACGTTTCTTCTCATAATATATATATATACACACACACACACACACACACACACACCTCAGCCCACTTCACTATTTCAGGTCCTCTTCAATGTCATATTTCCATCCAGTCAGATTGTTATTAGTTGGATTGACCAATATGAGTTTATGCCCTCAACTGATATGTGTTATTTTCAACTTTAATTGGTTATGTTATTATTGTTAATAATTTCGGGTCTACCAATGCCACTGTTTGGTGAGTGTATAAACACCAGTTACTTCTATTGTTTGAATAATTTCTCAAATTATTTTGAGAAATTGGTGATGGCGCAGTGTATAAGACACATGCCTTTGGTGTGAGAGACCCGTGTTCAAATCCACTGTGAGACACCAATGTGTCCCTGAGCAAGACACTTAACCCCTAGTTGCTCCAGAGGCGTACGACCTCTGACATATATAGCAATTGTAAGTCGCTTTGGATAAAAGCGTCAGCTAAATGAATAAATGTAAATGTACATTTTTACATAATCACATGTTGTTTTCAAGTGATATAGCAATTGTGTTGCAATTTATCATAAAAGCAAATTAAAGACAGTCTTGTGTTCACAAAATAACTTTCTCATAATAAGTTCTTAAAGCATGTTTTTACTGTTGTAGTGAAATAATCATCTAGTTTTTATTGTAACAAAAAACAGTAATAAAAACGAATACAAATAATTTTTGCATGTACATTAAT